CATGGTGGTCCTCGAGCACATGATTTGACACCCCAAAATCATAGACCTCGTCGGGATGTCTCCTCGGGAATTATGTTTGCCCGTTCGCTTGGAACATCCTCGAGATCGTGCCTTGGCCTCGCACCTGACAACTCCTGTTTCATTATGGACTTTCCAATTAGATAGAACTTATTCAGTTATAAAGAAGTTGAATCCTACTGCTCCTAGTCCACCCAAGAAGGACCCAATTAGTAGAGTTCTATCCTTGTTAAAACACTTTTATGGAACAACACCGATCAAGTTATGACTTCAAAATGTCATAGGACTCTGGGGAGTTCGAATAACCTAGTCATACTAGGAAAGCACTACCTACCTCTATAAATATAACACCATAAGTCATTATTCAGGTACGTTTTTACATACAATTTGAGCATCCAATATTTTCCGTATTCTCTCTCTGACTTAAGCGTCGGAGGGGCGACGAGGACACACCTCGACGCCTTTGTTTCAGGTACCGAAAGACCTTGTTCGTGCTCATTCTCAGTCGTCAAGCTCGGAAGTCGACGGGTACGATTTTTGGTAGCATCAGTGGTATTAAGTGATAGGTGAAATTAAATGACTTATTTAATTTCACCTATCATTTAGAGCCATTTAAACTGTGTTTTTAATCCCAGTGGGGATGAATAGCATTACTCTTTATATTTGTATTGAATGATTGAAATATTAATAACCTTGATTTCTGCATTAAAAAATGACTAATACTGAGAATAATTTAATTACATTGCATATCGCATGCATAATTTAATTACCTTGAGTATTGATTATATTAATGTAAGGGCATATTAAAAAAATGATAGTAAAATTTATTATAGTACCAATAATAATTTAACTAACTTAAATATTGTATGCATAATTTAATTACCTTGAATATTAATTGCATTAATGTATGGGTATATTAGGAAAAATGATAGTAAAATTTATTATTTCAACTATATTAACTAAAATTTTTTAATTTGTGTGAAAAAATACGATTATCTTTATGGGATGAAGGGAGTGCAATTTTGCTACATGTACACTAAGTTTGACATCATTGATGACATTCTCTGATATGACAGCATTTTGGGTCATTGATTTTAACAATATTTAAGCCTATGTTTGACCCACACTGTATTTTTTATTCTCATTTTTCTAATCATTCTCAACCTCACATTTTTCAATAAAATAATATTTTTCATCACATCAATAACTTTTCCTTCATTTTCAACCACATATTTCCCATCACATCACTTCACTTCAAAAAAATGCACTCTCTCATTTTAATGTGCACCAAATATGAGTGTTTGACACCCATTTTAATGGGTTGAAAATTTTTGGAATAGTGATTGATGGGAGAATCTGTGGTGAAAAAGTAATGAAAAGTTTTAGATTTGTGTGTAATATTATTTTATTTGGAGAATGTGTAGTTGAAATTAAAAAAGAGAAAAAAAATGAGAAAGAGAATAAATGCCAAACAGAGGCTTATTCAAATCAATGGCAAAGATTTTCACACATCACATAATGTCATCCATAACGTAGTAGGAATGTACGACTAGTTTAATTAAATAAATTAAAAATAACTTGTTCTTCGCTGCAACTGTAATTTTGTCGTCTTGTCCACGTCATCACTTCCGTGCCTTACTCGCATAAACCAAATCTCTCAACTTCCATGATACAAATGCTCTCCAGCCTGGCGTGGTCAAACCATTCCTCTTCGTGCTTATCCTTATTTTTGAGAATGTTCAATTATGAATTACCTAATCCCTAACAATGTTGAAATGTCAATTTCTTAAAGATGTGAGCAATTTTTAGGATAGGACCGGATGACAATAAAAATCATCCTACTTTTTCAATGATGTAAGAATAATACTATGTACTATTTGACGGATATTATAATCAAACTTTTAACAGGCCCATGTTTGAATCATGTTAAAATTTTCATTTTTATTTTTTTATTCATTTTTAATCACACATTTTTCACCAATTTACTATTTCAGAATACTTTTTTCCAAAATAATGTGACTCAAACACATCCCGAAATGAAATATATGATTAAAAAGTTTGGAATCCCACGAAATATTTGATTTAAAATAATTATTGACTTTAATTTAAATTTAAATTTTGATTTTAATTTTTATCAAACAAGGACTATATAATCCAACAGATGAAAAGAATGAGTACCAAACGTCATTAAATGATTGAAAATGTGATCGTATGTAAATTAAGCCCATGTTTGGTTCAACTAAAAATATATATTAAAATTTAAGTTAAAAGTCAATTGTTAATTTTAACTATATATTTAATGAGATCCACAACTTTTTTTAACTACATATTTCATCAATTTTTATCAAATATTTTTAGAAGTATGATATTTATCTAAACCATATAGGGAATAGGATGAATTGCTGTGTTTTTAACTTTGTGACATGGGCATTTAAGAAAAAAATGGGGAAAAAAGTGGTGCAAGATGTACATATAGCTTAATTCTACTAAATATTGTATCACGTAGAAAGGAATGTCATCCATGATGTGAAGCAAGATGTACAGACAGCTTAAATTCTACTAAATATTGTTGATGCACATTTCTTGGAGAAAGATGCAGAGATGAATTATATTTACTAAAAAAATGACGAACAATTATATCATGATAATTTAGTTGAGCAATATTTAAAGAGTTGAGATCTGATGCCTATTTTTTTTTACTGTTAACTCAATTAATTATTAACACGTTATCTCAAATTTACCTTCATTAACTTCACCACTAGTCCATCAATTTGATATAATATGTTAATTTAAATGAAGTATCAATAATTAATTGGACGGACAGCAAAAGGTGAACAACGGATCTCAACTCCTGATTAAGATGAAACATTAGCTAAATAAATAAACTTAAATAATACTTTGTGTACAATCTATGGTTGTCAAGGAATTTGACAATCCATGTTAATTTAAATTTGAAAGGACGGGAAAGTGTGTGGTGTTTAAAAATTGACCACTCAACCTTCAACACGTGGCACATTGTCAAACTTGATGTCAAAAAAATTGTACTTATAGCATGGTTGAATAAACTTAACATCTCAATTGCTCATCTA